GCGGCGTCCATGGGAAAGGATTAAAAATCCAGGTTAAACCGCTGGTTAGTTTCTTAGATAAACGTGTGATATTTAGCCTAGGACACGCTATCCTATTTCGGAAGGGGAAAATTAAACTTAGCCTATATAGCGGACCCGTGTATAGATAATATCGTTGATATATCGTGGATATACTCGGATCCTGATAGGGTTACGATAATACGACGTCGAGGTTCGGGCTTACGGTGGTTCCGCGCCGTTATCCACTTAACGCGTTCGTCTAGTTATTTCTCTGTTAGCGTGGCGAGGTTAACGTTTATATATAGGGGCAGGTTAGGGTTATACGCGGGTCCCGTTATGGTTATAGGAGAGACGGAGACGGTGGCAGGGGTAGAGGCAGTAGTAAAGGTAATACTAGCGATAAGGCTAGGAATAGGTACGGGGGCAGGGATAGAAGCAGGAATAGGCGCTTATACGGTGGCAGACACGGGAGCCGTGTTAGTTCCTAGCGTGTTTCTATCGTGTTCCTTATCAGCGTCCTTTATAAAGGCGGTTTCGCTATCGCGTAGCTATCGCTTAAACTAGCTAGCAGCCTCGTTAAAATCGAAGATAGGATTATTTATTTCGTAATAGTTAGATATCTTAGTGACTCTCCTTAACGGTCTTCGCGCCCTTAGAGGGTAAAGCGGTTAAAATATTAAATAGGTAGTCGTAAAGAGTGAAAAGATAGGGTTAAGTAAGAAACCAGGTATAATCACGATAGGGTTATAATCGGGAAAGTATAGGGGTGGCTAAAGAATTAGATTAATCGCTAGCCTCTCCCTTAAAAGGGAACGCTCCCTTACTCCTTAAGGCTACGCTTTACTCCTCGAGGACTACGTATTTACTTCCTCGAGGGCTACCTTATTTACTTCGAGGGACTATTCTGTTTACTATGTGATAATTTACTTTATTTATGCCTCGAGGGGTCTTAGACTAGGCATACCTGGACCCCTATGGGTTTATACTGGGGACCTATTATAACTACTGCCGTAGGCACCTGATAATAACTAGCGTTATTTAACTAGTAGTATATTAATAGTTACGGAGACTTATAACTAAGACGAATAGACGGCGGTATATAAGAATATTAGCCGTCGCTTTAATACTAGCTAGGCTATAATATTTAGGTAGGTTATAGCTACGGTTAAGTCTCTTAGCAGTAGTCGTTTCTTTCTATAGGGCCTAGGCGGTATAGGGAAGATATTCGTATATTACGGTCTCTCTGCATATTTCCGGTTACGCGGGGAGATTATCCTCTACGTGGCTTCCTCCGGTATCGCGGCCGTTCTTTTAAAGTGTAGTCGTACGGCCTATTCGCGGTTTAAAATTCCTTTATATATTTATGATAGCTTAACCTATAGTATACCGAAGAATTCTATCCTTCCCGGCTTATTATAGGAGATAAGGCTTATTATCTAGGATAAGGTTCCGATATAGTATAAGCACTACTTTAAGGCCGTTAGCTATTTATTATAGTATATACATAGCTATACTAAGCTTTTTAGCGGTATTTCTATTATTTTCGTTGGCGATTTTACTTAGATCCTATTACGGGCTATGGCCCGCGGAATAGTCCCCGGTAGTAGCCGGGACTAAGAAGCACGGACCTCCTAGCAAGGCCTATGCGATTATATATATACTTAGTCGCCTATATACCGCGTAGACTTTTCCGTTCCTCCTTTCCTTCCTTAGTTCGAATAATCTATATTTTCGGCCTTAATACGTAAATAACTTTTAATAAGCCGTTATATATTCGAACTTATAAAACTATAAGCTTCGACGCTTATATAGAAGGAGGTCCGGGCCACTTCGCCCTAAGCCCACTAAGGGGCTAAGGGCAGGTCGTAAAGACCTCGTATAATAAGATTGACGAACGCGTGTTATAACGCGTATAAAAAGCGGTAAGAATATATATCGCCCCTATTTATAATATAATCGTTAGCCTATAAGCGGCCTTTAAGAGGTCTTAACTTAAGCTATACCTTATACCTACTACGCACTTAACGCTTACCCTAGTCGTTATGCCCTTACCCTTACTTACGCCCTCAGAGGCAGAGACTACTATACTAATCCCGCCGCCGCCGCTAATACCTATACTCTCGTACCGGGTATAATAGACTACCGTTCCCGTAACATTTAGTGGAAAACGCATAGAATACACCGCCTAGTCCTAGGCTATATAACTAAAACTTAAACTTAATAGCCCGCTATTTCGTAGTAATAAAAAGGCATAGTATTTAATTAACGCGTGCTTACACACTTAGCCTGAGTAGGTGGTTAATACCTTCTTCGGTAATAGAGGTATAAACGGTAAATTTAACCTAAAGGAATTTATAGCCTACCTTAACCGTACGTATAAGGACCGTAACGAATAAGGCCGCGCTACTAACGCCTTTAGGGCGATAAAGCAAAAACCCGACTAGCTATTCGCGCGCTTCTTACTAACCTTTAAAAGGAACCTAGCGTAAGTAGGAGGCTATAACTAGGTAGACTATATTAAGATATTATTCTTTAACGGTGCCCTAAATAATAGGCTATATACTAGCCTAGTAGTAGCTAACCTCCCTAATACCTATACTAAATAGGTCGATAAGGTATAAATACTCGCGTAAAGATAAAAGGGTATTAGTAAGTCGTACCGGCTAATTCCCGTCGCCTATAAACCGGCTAAGAACGCTAATAGCGATATCGCTATAAGTAAAGTTAATAAGGTTAGTAAGTTAAAGGGGACCTAATGAAAATCTAACCGCTACGCGAAGATTATATGTTAGAATTACTAGAAAAAAGGCCGCGTTTAACGGTACTATAAGAGTAAAAAGGATACGGTAGCACGAATATCCCCTTAAGAGGAAGGATCTAAAGATATTCCTAAAAATACTAAAGACTCGGAAAAAGAGTAGCTTTAGTGCGAAATCGGGTACCGCAGTTAACAGTGCGAGAGTAATACGAGTAAGAGAAGTTTAAACCGCTATTACGGAGCGAGTTAGTATTAATCTAAATAAAAGTTAATAGTCATAAGTTAATAAACGCTTTTATAGATACTCGTTATAATTACTATACCGCTATAAATAAGAAGTTTACTTAAATAATACGCTTACTATTAATCGATAAAAAGAAACGATTACTAAAAGGCTTTTTAGAGGAGACTAAACCGGTGAATAGCGCCGGTATCGTAATCTTTATACTAGATATATAAGGGTATACTAAGCGCATTTTCGTGTATATAATACCAAGTCTAAACTAGGATCTTTTCCTTAGACTTTTATAGATAGAATATAATAATAAAGTCCTTTACGCTAAGGAATAAAGGCTCCGCTATATAGTAGCTAATATCGATATCCGACTCTGAGGCGAAGAGGAGCTAAAGGTAGTATATGAGATCCGCGCTATAGTACTAATAACGGGGTCTATATTCGCGGGACTGATAGACGACTACGGTACTAAAGGGGAAAAGGATAGGAAAAGGGTTTATAGGCTATATCGTTAAAAGATATTAAAAAGGCCCTAAGTATAAAGGAATTAGTAGACCCGCGAGAATATATCCCTAAGAGTATTATATAAGAGTTCGGCGACTTATTCGCGCCTTTATACTCTATACGCTTACCCCTATACCCACCTAGCGCCGACTATAAGGTCTACTTATAGAAGGATAGTAGTAGTAACGAATAAGCCTTATTATAGGGCCCGCTCTATAATATATTATATAAAGAGCTCCTCGTTGTGACGGCTTGTTAAAAGTTGTTTACGTATTAAGGCCGAAAATATAGATTATTCGAACTAAGGAAGGAAAGGAGGAAAGGAAAAGTCTGTGCGGTGTGTAGACGGCTAAGTACGTATAGAATCGCACGGGCCTTACTATGGGTCCGTGCTTCTTAGTCCCGGCTACTGCCGGGGACTATTCCACGGGCTATAGCCCGTAATATACCCCCCCCCCCTTACCGGAGGCGACGAGGTCGCCCTTATATTATAGTCGCGTGGTCGTGACCTCTTATTACCCCTAGCCGCTTCGCGTGGAATCTAAAAATAGCTTCCTTTATTCGATTCCATTAAAGGCTCCTTTAAAGGGAGGTAATCCGCAGCAGCCAAGATTCTTTCAAGACTAAAATAGCATAAAAGGGCTCTTATATAGCGGTGCTATCGCGAGCTCCTCGCCGGCGTACATACTCGTTATAAATAATATACCTGCCGAATATAAAACCGGGGGTTATTCCTTTTACCTAAGTAGCGTAGGAAGGGTAGTAAAATAAGCCTCCTACTATTCTTCGGTTTTCACTATTTTCTTCCTCCTCTATAGCTTTCTTTTAAGTATTTTTTTTTTTAATTGGATTTTCTATACTATGAGTAGCCCCGAGATACCTCGCAGGTCCCTTAATAGCATAACTAATATCGCCGAGTAATAGCTTATTACTTAGGCCGCCTATATCTTCTTTACTATAAGTTAGCACGTCCCTCGCTTATAGTTCCGCGCCATAGCTAACTATTAGTAGATATCGGACTTTGCCTCTCCTAGTAAGCGCCCTTATAAAGGTAGTAGTGATAACGATATAAGTTCCGCCTATATTACCGTCGGTTACGAGGTCGGCCGTAACTAATACTAAGTAGACTTCGACCCCCCCCCCTCCTTACTTAATATATTTAGTTATATAACCTTAATAAATAGCCCTATAATAACCGTTACTTACTTATTATAAGGGTAGTTACCTAAGATATATAGTTATATAACCTTAATAAATAGCCCTATAATAACCCTTACCTACCTTATATATATTATAAGAGTAGTTACCTAAGATACTTAGTCACGTGACCTTAATATATAGCCCTATAGTAACCCTTACCTACCTATTATAAGGGTGGTTACCTAAGATATCTAATCACGTGACCTTAGTACATAGCCCCATAGCAACCCGTAGCTTAACTTTTCGCCCTACTCGGACCCACACCTACCCTCAGCTCAGCCTCCGAGTTCAACATCAGTTTATCTACAACCACATCGAAACGATAGACGCTCACCAAAGAAACACAGACGGATGATCCCGGACTCACTTCTAAAAACTGCACAACGACAACAAGGTATCAATACGAGGACTTGCAGATCGGCGAATTAATTTTTTGTTTGGTTTTTCTTTTACGGTCAGGCCTCCAAATTTCAAACGAGAGACGACGTGAAGTGCCCCAGGGGCTAGGGACAGACCAGGGCCGCGTCCAGCGGATCCTCGTACAAACATCGCTCATCCAACGCTTCATCGGGACACCCTATGCCAGCCTTTGAGCTCCATGTCTGGGGCCCGGCCTTTGGCCTCCCATCCATCGACGCCGAGTGCCTGGCTGCCATTGCCTACCTCCACTACACCCTACCCAGTTCAGAATGGACACTCATTCCTAGCAGCGACCCTTCCCTGACTCCTCAGAGTGAGTCTCCTAGCTTTGCTCTTTCACCGACACACATTTCACCCGACGACGTCGCTTTCTTACTAAAGCATCTCACTAGATCGTCTCCCGGCTCTCCGCTCAACAGCCTCTGGCACCTGGGCAGCGGGCTACGACGCCGTCGTCTCCCATCTTGCCCATGAGACGACCCACCATCTCGATGTAGAGCTAACAGACGCCCAACGCGCCGATGCCGTAGCTTACAGCTCCTACATCTCCTCCCACATCGCCCCGCTCCTCGACCTCACACTCTACGCCCTACCGCGGAACTGGACCCAGACCACCCGCTCCGCCTACGGCGCCATCATCCCCTTCCCCCTAACCTGGACGGTGCCCATAGCTCAGCGAGCCGCCGCTGTGGAGAGGGTATCCCACCTCGTGGCCAGCCTCCCGCTGAGCGACGGGAACGACGACGCAGCAGCGCAAAAGGACCTCAGCGCCCTCGACGCAGCCATCAAGCACCTCCCTACGAGTCGCAAGAAGGGCATCTTGGAGCAGATGGCCCCCGCCGAAGCCGCCACTATCCGCCTGCATGCCATGGCCGTCGACGCCCTCTCCGTGCTCGAAGACCTCCGCCGCCACACCGCCCAGAACAGCCACGACTCATCGCCTACCAACGCCGAAACCAGCTCCACAAACCTACGCCTCCTGCGCCCCGGCCAAGTGACCTCCCTCGACTGCCTCGCCTTCGGCTACCTCTCCCTCGCCGCCTCCGCCCCCGTCCCGCAAGATTTCCTCCGCAAAGTCCTAACAACCCGGTTCCCAGCCCTGCTCGCCCTAGCGACCGACATCAAACGCACCTGCCTCGAAACCCCCGGTACCCTCCCCTGGACCCCCTATGCCGTCCGCGACACTATGGGGGGAACGCGCATCCTCGTCCGCTTCCTGGACGACGTGCTCCGCGTCACCCCGACATTAGGCGACCTATACGCCACGGAGCACCGGCGCCGCGCAGAAATCGGCACGGCGGACGGGAGTTTCCTCGACAAACGCACCGCCGCCCTCGCCAGCGGTGCGCTGGCTCTCGGGTCGGCCCTTACTTGCGCCGCGTGGTGGTACAGGAACTTGCCGTCCTTCGGTCTGCGTAGTCAGACGTGGGTCGCCGGCGGTGCGGGCGCAGGCCGCTTAGCCGAGTTTGGCGCCCTGGGAGCCATGTTGGATTTTTCGCTCGCGGGACCTGCTACAGGTCATGGCGCTGAGCATCAGCAGAATCGGATCGTCGAGGCTGAAGTCGGACTTGACTAGTTTGGTTTTTGTCTATGTACCCTGTTTTATTATCATGCCTGTCAGATATATCGCTGCTGTGCTTGTGTCGGGCTTTTGGGGCGACCATTTGTGTCATAACTGTACGATAAAAGGATTGGGGGGGGGGAGGTGGCGAACGAAAACAAGGCCTAAGGAGACTGACAGTTACGAAATATACGGAACACCAGCTCCTGCACTCGATAGTACAATGGTTCCAAGGCCACACCGTCGCATCTTCTTCTACAACGATACCATATTACGGCACACAGACATCCGCTCCATCGATTCAACATTGAGACGGAAAAGAAGGTTGATCGTATTCAGACTCGGAGAAATAGGCAGTACCCATCCTCAAAGCTTGTCAAAGCCATCTTATGTAGCTGGCTCTCACCCAGCTCCTTCACGCACCGCCTTTGATCCGAGAAGCGACGGACGAGATGTGGCCGAAGCGACCCCCGCAGATACATGTGTCCGAAAGCTTCAAAAAGAAAACAGGCAAAACAAAACCAAAAATCGCTTCACATGATGCCCTAGAACGCCGGACCGCCCAAAACGAGAGTAGAAGTGCACCTCACCCATCCGTTGCTTTATTTTCTTCGCCATTCTTGCCCTGGTCGTTTGCCGTTCCGAAAACCGAACCCATCCAGTTTTTCTCGTTTCTTACCAGACAGAGTAGAAAGCCAGATCACCAACCCTAAACCAACGTACATACCCAAACGGCAGCAGATGAAAAGGCAGCAATGCGAGAGGGAACCAGTGTTTCTCAGGCCTTGCGACCGCTTTGTAGCCCCCGTCCGGGCCCAGGAGTTTTCCCACTGTTCAATGCAGATACTCAAAGGCGACATGGTGTCCAGAGAAAGGAGGGCCAGAAAACCTGCCAACCAACGCCTCGCACATACAACAGAAGACTGAAGAGGAAAAAGAAGAAGAAAAAAAATCGCGAAAATGTCAAGAACTGAACAGATCTGGTCAGATGTTCATCGATTGGTGTGTATCATAGACGCATTTTCGGGGTGAAAGACGAATGATTCTTGATCGGGGTTTTTGATATTCCTCCTGTCGCGAATGGCGAGAAGAACAAAAAAACATTGATGCTCCAGCAGGAATGGATCGACCCAAGACTTATGGGCGCTGATGCTGGACACCTCTCAGGTAGGCGTCAGAGATGGGTAATCTCAAATCTCCAACTTTGTCTGGAGCCGCAGAATCCTAGTCCGGAACCAGAGCATGAAGGAGGTCCAGGCGCCCTGCGTCCTCCGCTTGGCACTGGGCCGCTTGGGGATGTCGAACGCAATGCCCTGAGCCCCTTGGTCGCGGGGCTCCGGCTCCTGGACCACGTCTTCATCCATGGCGCCGACGTAGGCGAGCTTCTCGGCGGTTGCTGGGTCGATGGTCGACCTCGGGATGTGCTGCACGCGGGCTTGCAATTTCCTCTGCTTGCGCTGGGCGGCACGAGCCTTCTTGGACTTGCGTGGAGGCACGTACGAGTTCTCCATGTACTTCGCTGCGAAGTGGGCACTGCCGGCATTGACGGAGCGGGCCTCAACCTCGGCCTCGGTGTCGATATCAGCGGTGGTAGGCGTGATGGGAGCGGTGGCACCGTGGAGGCTAAAGTGACTCGTACTCGTACGGGTGACGAACCCGTCCGGATCCTTCTTGGCGAGGGCTGTGGCCTCTTTGTAGATGCGGGCCTGCTCTCGCTCGAATCGCTGGGCTTCCTTCGCATCGGCGCGCTCGCGGCGCTTCATCTCCTCTTTGGCGCGCTTCATTTCCTTCAGTCGCTCGCGGTCTTCCCACTTCTGGCGCTCCTGTCGGATGCGCTCCTGGTGATAAGTCGGGTCGAGTTCTGAGCGAGAGCGCAAGCGGAAGCCCTCGAGGGAGGTGCGGAGGGGCGACATAGTGGAAGTGGAAGGTGACGTAGAAGATGTGAGTAAAGACGTCGGCGGTGATCCCGGTGCAGCTGCGGGGGTTGGTTGGGACGGGGCTCGACTTTTGGAGATCGGGGTGGAATCACCGGATTCGATGACGAGGTTGAGATCTGTGATGCTCGCAACGTGAGCGAGTCGGGAACCGCCGGAGGCTGAGTTGGAGCGGTTTGTTGTGACAATTTGGAGTGGTTGGTGGGAATTGACGTCTGAAAGGGAAGAAGTGCGGTTGTTGGCAAGAGAGGGGCGGCGCGAGGCAGGAGCGCAGTTGCCGGAATGGGAGGAACTGAGGTTGAGATTGTTGGTGGAGCCCAGTGAACTCGAGAGGCAGTTGCCGTTGCCGTTGCCGCTACGGTGCTGGTAGTAGGCGGCGCCGGGAGAGGAACTTGTCTGGAGATCTTCGTCCTCGGTGATGGTAGGTGAGTAGTCCCGCGAGGTCTGCTGATCGACACTGGCCAGGGAATTGGCGTAAGACAGGGAAGTGCGGGGGGTTTGCTGGAAAGGGTGGACGAAGCTGCCTGTACGGTAGGTACCCGGGCCGCTTCCGGAGGTTGCGATGCTGGCATGGGATGCGCCGCTGGTTGACCGCGCGTGTGATACGCTGGGTTTCGGCCTTATGTCGCCGGCACCACCCAAGCTGTCGATATCCAGCCGGCCATATACGCTGCCCTCGGTGTCGCCATCCCCCCATCCCACACCGGTATTTCCTTTGCCGTTGGTGCCAGTGCCAGTGCCAGTGCCGGTGCCGGTGCCGGTGCCAGTGGAACCAAGTTTCGATCCCCAGCCATGTCCGCCATAATGAATCTGCTCCTCCCACGTCCGGTCCAAGTCGAGAGAGCTCTTAGCTGACTGGGGGTTTCCCATCTTCTTGAGAATGGGCTTCACAACAGCCTTGCTACGCGACTTGTTGAGCTTCACGGGGACAATCCCCGTCATGTCGGCGTAGGACGCCACCATTGTGGATGGTACAGTCGCGTCTTCTCCTCGTCACGGCGGTCCGTAGTTATGCAATATTTCCCCTCCTTTTCCTGTCTTTTTTACCCCAGGCGGCGGACTGATTTGGCTCAACTCAAGGTGTCAGTCGCCTACACTGGGACCTCCCAAGCAGTACGAATACCAAGCACTGGAGGATGAGGGTCAAACAGGCCAGGGATGGCGCCCTACAACAGTGCGCGCGACACACAACAACGGCTAATCGACTGACCAGGAGCAAGCGTCTTCGATCGGGTTCGCGGGAGGATAGGTAGTTAGATCGAGGATCGAACGGGCGGTTCACAGTGGACAAGGAGGAGCCAGTGCCTGTTGCTATCGGACAGAGAGATTCGAGCTTGGGGTCAGGAGGGGTCCCTTGTACGCATAGGAAGGACAAGAGCGATGCCCAAAAAAGGACACGGCGGCGTATGAAGGGATGAGACGAGCTTCGTTATACGGTGGGCGGACGAACGCGGAGAGGGAATATAGCGAGGAGGGAAGAGAAAGGAAGGGGTTATTGGCGGATTATCAACTCGTTGGCTGGCATCGAGAGAGATTGGTCTTCCTTTGTCGATATGGTGTCTTTTCGAGTATATTCTTTTTGTTCAGGCAAGGGGGAAGAAGGAGAGACAAGACTCTACAGCCAGGAAAAGAAAGTGTGGCTATAAATTGACTGTCGGATATGTTTGGTATTGTCTGTCGACAGCAAGGAGCATGGATAGATGATGTGGTGGTGGCGTATGAGGAGTACGACGACCGAGGTGAGAGCGGAAGGGGGGGGGGAGATGAGATATTGAATGGTATTTGGACAATTGACGGGCGGAAAGATGGGACGTGGTACTTCGTAGGACATGGACATGGTAGACAGATTGGAGTGGGTGGAGGTTGCCTCACCGGCTGTCTCCCTGTCTCCCTGTCTCTGTCTGTCTCTCTTTCCTTTCTTTCTCCTTTCGCTGCTCGCGACCGAGAAGTCGGGAAGGAAGGAGGGACCCGACCGAAACCATCCCTCCCCTCATCATTAATCATGTTCATCGATCCATCGTTCAATCATATCGGTTGAATCAACCTGAAGAATCAAAATGCCCCGCTTTCATCATCTCCCAGGAAAGTACCTTCATCTCAGGTGAGAGCTAAAGAATGAGGGACCTGGGACCAGGATGTGGAAGACAGGACCGAAAGCAGACATACCGTTGTACGTATGACGCCGGGGGGGGGGGGGGGGGGGCGACCACAAGACACAAAGAGGTATAAAAGGTACAAAGCACAAAATACAGAGGAAAAACGGGGACCAGACAAGCGGTCCAGCCACTCAGCGGTCGTAAAACGGTGGAATCTCCCAACAGCTACCCGGTCTGTCCGCCCTAGCAACGCACAAGACCCCCCCCCCGGACCGGTGCCAAGGGATCCCCAGGTGGCTCCGCGGGCTTGGCGGCTCCACCACTCGAACCACCGGGCCGTACGGGGCAACACTCGCACCGCGAGGCGATATTTCACTATTACGCCGCCCAGACTTGATCGTTCCAGTCGTAGTGTCATTGGAGGCCGTCTGGGGGGGCGAAATGAATGGTAATTTATGGCCTGTGGATGGGAAATGAATGGGGGCATAGGAAATGGATGAGCCTCGGACAATGTCGTGCTGAGGTACGAAGTACTACGACGTACCTTACTTCATACCTTATGTACTTCGTACATATCGCACAATGTGACATTTGCATCTGTAGGTACAACGTACGTTCAAGGCGGTCGGTTTGCATGCAAATGTTATGAGTAAGGGATGTCCGGCTTTAGAAACTCGGCTTACGCAGTTATGGTTTCCAGGCATTCATGGGTTTGCGGGATAAACTGTAACATCAAGCAGGTACTCTCAGAGGTACCTCAAATAACATGCTTATCGAGAATGTTGATAGAGTCAACGCCACGACTTCCGACCATATTGATGACCGTTTTACACAATTGCCCCTCAAACCACCCGTTTCCCGGCCAAAACTCTCATCCCACGTCACACCATGGTGGGGTTCTCGGCCTTCCTATCGACGACCCAACGGAAAATAAGCCCCGAGCCAAGAGAAAGATGGTGTGTGTTAGGTATGTTGTGGGTGGAAAGCATGTGAGTTTTATTTACGGGGGAAAACAAATCGCAAATCCTTGACGTGTCCATGTCCATCAGCTCCAATTTGCCTCCTCTGGGGCTGCATCGCATCGCCCCCAGACCGGATACCAGCAAGCGAATGGCTGGGCTGAGCTGTGCACAGCCCATTTCCGGGGGATATTGCTCGAAAAAGAAGTTGAGGCTATTGTTCAATTGCCTACTTCGTCGGCCCCTCCTCCATTTGCCAAGATTCCTCCATTCAACACACACACACTGCTGACAGACGCACTCGGATCGAGGCTGTTTTACGACATAACGACGTCGCCTCCCTTTTTTTTTTTCTTTCATTAAAACCGATTCCTTTCCTTGTTCTGTTGTCCTGTCTTCTCTCCTTCCCCATCGACATGTGTCCCCATTTCTATCGTTGTCCTCTCGTCACATCCTCCTGGCGGTGATGTTGTTGGCAATAAGTTCCAGACTCCGCATCTCTGTTGAACTGGCCCAGCGCTCACCGCCTCACAAGATGCAGGCAGATAACGGCAGCAGATAAGCTGCCGCCCGTTGCGGGGTTGGGATGACACAAACGTGACTTTGCCATTCCACAATTCCACAGACCTACCGAGACCTGGTACAGTAGATATAATTACATCCTGTAGGTCATTTGATATCTTCATGTCTCAGAGGCGGGAAACGAAAGCGGAACAACACTCTATCAACCGGCTGCGGGTGTCCTCATCTAAGTCGTCTCATCACGGCCCGCTTCCGTATGCGACACTCTCGCCAGTTAATGACATTCCACTTGTCTACCCATGCAACCCTTTACTGACATCCAGGGACGTTTTTTTTTCGATGCGTTCCTACTATTGGCATTCTGTTATGGCACAGCCTGGTCTTCCATCGAGGTCATTAGTGTAATGCACTGCTTAGCCACTGCAGCCACCTTGGTTGATTATCGTCTTTAACCGAACCGGACCAACCAGCAAGCTGTAAGTCCTCTCATGCATAAGCGAGATCTATCTGGGCGCATCCCCCGATGGATCGACTTGACCTCTCTCCACGGACTTTCCCATCCCCTCGGCCTCGCCGTCAGTTATCCCTATAAAGTACGAATACTGGATTCAAAGAGGGCGCACAGACACCTACTATTTAAAGCAAATGATGCCCACCGCCCAGAAAAGGTGACGACGGGGGGTGCACTGAGAGAAGAGTGCTCTTGAAAGCACTTGCAGGCTGCAGCCCGCGTTGGTGTCCGTCAGCTGCATGCTCCCCCCCTCTGCGCCCCCAGTGATTGACAGAGCGGTCTGGACGCGCACCAGGTGGTCGGACGCCTTGCGATAGTCGATCCTTTTATCTGTCTCCGGGGGATATATTTTGCCAAATATCACAAAGAAACATAATAATAAAGGGATTAAAGGGGGGAGGTTAAGAAGTCATCGCACTGAGTTAGAATATTGAATTAACGGGAGCGTGCTTATAGGGAGCGTTGATTTAGGAAATATATGATTGTATTGTGTATAAAAGAGAAAGAAAAAGGGGGCGGGTATACGTGTCCTAAATATATCTACCACCTTCTAAGCGAGGATAATAAGGCACCTCTAACTAATAGGAGAGCACTATACCGTGGCTTACGTGATAGAATATAATATACCCCCTAATTATTACGCCGTGATTAGCGGAACGATTACTTAGCCTAACCTTAACCTAGCCTTATTTTTAACCTTAAAATAGTCTTGAAGGGTCGTGTAATACCCTTAATATCGAGTTAAAAGGCAGGAATAAAAGCTGTAAAATAGTAAAGAATAATACTAATAGTAGTAAATAATAAAGGAAAAGTGCTATTAATAGTAGTAGTAAACAGGTAATAGTAGGGCCTTCCGTAGATAATTTAAAGGCGTTATACCGGCGTTTTAGAGCTTTTGGATCCTCCCTCTTATAACCTCTTATACCGTTATTTTTTCGAGGAATTTAACGATATTAAACTAATTTTCTATAATTTTTCTAATAATAGTAATAAAAATAATAATAATAGCGATATAGTGAGTATCGGAGCTTTATTTTTAGTGGCGCGTGCTAACTGGTAGCGTCGTTTAGGCTCCTCCTACTCTCTTAGCGGTTACTTATACGGCTACGGCGAAGAAGGCTTCGTCTAATAGCGTTAAGAAGAATAAGGGTAAGGGTACCGGTAAAAAGGGTACTACTATAAGTTATTGTAGCGCGTTTATTCTGGATCTAATTACTCTAGACCTTAGCTAATTCCTAATAGACTACTAAGGGCAGTGGTAATAATAATAATAACGATACCGATAACGATTTTATTCTAGTCCTATTCGAACCGCCCTGTCTTAAATGCGTAAAGGGTATTTATTCTAGAAAATAGCGCTCCTTTAATTACTATATTTCCGTTCCTGGGCGCTCTAATAGGTGCTAAAAGTGTAAGGATAAAAACTATATATACTACCCTCTATAAGTTTTTACCCCCTATTTAAGGCGCTTTATAATTATAATTATATACTCTATTTCGTATTAGCTTAAAGATATATACGCTATTAAGCTTTACGACTGCTAACCTATACTTATAGTTTTTCTAGCCTTATCTTATTAGTTAAAATTCTATTTAACTATATTATAGTCCGAAAAATCGATAAGGACTCGGAGGACGATAATAAGAAGGTGTATTTATCGCTTTATTTCTAAGGATAAAAGCTCTAACTAACTAATCTTACGTAGTTCTTCGCTAAGCTTAAATAAACAGTAAAGTTTATAATTAAGTTAATAGAAGATAACGATAATAAGAAGTTTTTCCGTAAGGAAGAACTTAAGGGAGAGTTAAATTAGCTCCCCGCTACTACTTCGAGTAGTAATTCTACCTCCTAGCTCGCGGGGATTATAATAGATATTCTTCGGGAGAATAGGTTTATCGTTACTCCTCCTGCTAAAGGAAATAGCGTAAATATTACGTAGGATAGTGCTTAGGATAGCGCTAATAGAGCTTACTCACTTTACTAGTCTACTCCGACGTTATCTTTTTAATTTTTAGGATTTACTTTTAGGTTATAGTATAGTGTTTCGGTATTAGGATAACGATATACCCTACTTTTTACTAAATTAACTAAGCCGCCAGCGCGCGGTACGCCTAAGGCGTAGGAATTTCGACTTTAACTGCTTCTTTCTACCCCCTCCGTGCACTAATTATATTAAGATATACTCAGAAGTTCTCGAACTTTTATCGTGGAAGTACTTTT